AGACTTTTTAAACTCAATTTAAATTTTGATGTATTCAATCACGACTTTAAAAGACTTCATAAAAGTGTTATGCATGTTGGATTTCCCCCAAAAAAGAACCATATCCTTCTCAACTCCTAACCCTACCTCTACACACCCAAAACTCGTCGTGAACAATTTTAGTTTTTAATGTGGTTTTTTATATTAATTATGAAGTATTATATTAATATTTAATTTTTATGAGTCTATTTTGTATTTTTGTTGTTGTTGATAAATTAGTTAAAATAGCCATTCTTCACAACTTTTGTTCTATAGTAGCCATCCTTGCATTACAGGTAGTGGCGGAGCCAAGAATTGATGTTAGAGGGGGCCCTCTTGCAAAATATAAAAATGAAGGGAATGAGAGCATAAACATTGCAAGTTCTCGTAGAGGATCTTGCGCATCATTTTGAGACCCTGGACCAATATCCTCTAGATTAAAAATCAAGAATAAACTTTTAAATTATAGATTTTACAGATCAAGTTTTGATTGTAGTATATATAAAACCCTTGTATACCCTTTTAATATTCAATTCAATTCATACACAACATTAAATTATTTGCATAGAGAGAGAAATAGAGAAAGAAAAGGAGAGTGGTGGGGAAGAAGAAAAAAGAGAGAGAGAGAGAGAGTAGTTGAGAAGGGGCTTGTGACCCCTCTAGTCGCTACGTGGCTTCGCCATTAATTATAGGGGCACTATGGGGACAACATATAGGGAATTATGGGGACAATATGAAGGACAATGGCTATTTTGGAACAAAAGTTGTGAAAAATGGCTATTTTAGCACGCCCAATTTTTTTTAACCTTTTACACATTGACCTCCTGGAAGGAAATTTCCTATTATCATGACTATTGATTATTGTAAGTTTTTCTTTTCCACACAGAAAAAAAGGAAAAAAAAGAAACTAGAATTCATAGATGAATTTAGACTTCCTATCTCCCCAAATGTAAACAATCAATTGATGGTTCTCAGTTAAGACAACCAAGTCTGATTGTTTGGATAGCAAAACCAAACGCTTGAGCACAACATCTTTGTTTACGCCAGAGCAATTTCAGTCCAAACAACCTTTATGCAACAGAAAGCAATTCTTTCGTTTTAAAAATTTCCACCTTCATGCCGTGGCATGTGGTTAGTAAAACCATGAGATGGCACAGCAGCCCACATTGCTAAATTCAACTTCCATTCAATCCGAAACTTGAAAAACATCTTAAAAATAAAGTGTCACATGCAGGCAACTGAAAGAGAAAAATCTGAATGACGAAAAAGGTCCCTGAACAATTACAACTAGGAGTTGAGGAATTTAAACAAAAACAAAAAATGCTTGATAAGCAACATAAATACCCAACAGAGCCTGATGTATCATCACCCAAATAACACTCATTTCAAAAGGTAGGTTATCCAATCTGAGCGCTCTTCAAGAGACATACTAAAAAATACATCCCTTCTTGTTTTAGTATTAAGCAATGCAACTGCTTTAAAACGAGCACGTTCATCCAGGTTTGGGGTCTCCTTGATAGCATCCCAGATACAACTTTGGTTCTCTCTCTTTTTCTCCCTTCTCTCCAATAGGTTACAGATTCTCTGAAAGGTGGTAGCAATTGAATCAATGCTAAGAGAAAGTTTTTCCAGTATTCCAGCTTGATTGGTGGTCTCAATTGAGCTAGTATTCCCTTCATACTCAGTTCTAGTTCGTTTCTTCTGGTTGATGCTTTCTGAGGGAACTTTCGGACTAGTGGCATGAAAGTGCAAGGGTGATGAAGATTGGCCAAGTGATGGATCTTGGTGTGATGGTTCCTTTTCATTTGGTAAAAAAGCCTTATTACCCTCATCATAAACAAACTCCTCTTTTCCAACATGTCTATCTTCGACCCAATCAATTCTTGCATCAATATCATCACCCAATTCTAACGAGTTTCTCTCAATAGCAATTCCACTCCCAAATACAATTTGCAATTCCTCATAGTCCTCACAAGTTTCTGCGCGAAGACCTATGTGGCTCGGATAGGACTATAAAAGAAACAAGAAAATAATAATTGTTTAAGAAAGGAAGTAATATGTACTCAAATTACAAAATATAATATATATTTAAAAAGAGTTAAGAAGCGCACCTTAAAGTAATCTTCCCAAAGTTTTTCTTCACCAGTGAATTTCTTTCTGATTGGGTCCCACTTAAACCCAGAGCTATGATGGACAAGTTGGGTATACTTTTGATATTTTTTCTTAAAGTATTTCAACCGACTTTGGTAATGAGAATAACTTTTTTGACACTTAAGTTTTTCATTAATCTTTGGAAGTATTTTAGCTTCTACAGTTGCCTTGTTTAGCACGCCATTAGGATTCCGCCATCCACAAGACACAGCATCGACCATGAGTTGTAACAACATCTTGCTCTCTTCCATATTCCAACTGTTATAATCATTCTTGGCCTTCCCTTTTCCATTTACTTGCAATTGTCGTGCATCTCCCATTTGTAATGTAACTATATATGCAAATTATTATTAGATATCTAATTTTTAGTTTCTTATTGACCTAATATAATACAAAACCACACAACTTCTCTGACAGACAATATTATGCATAAAATCAACTCATAATACAACAAAGTAAAAGACCAAATGATATATATATTTCTCATAGAAAAAAAGAAGAAGGACCAAATGATTAATAATGCAAGAGCAAAAGGACCATGCATAACAAAACAGGCCAAAATATGCAAACATACATAAGCTTACAGAAGCCGCAATCTAATAGGGCTGAAAAAAATTAGATCAGATAAGCTTACAGAAGCTGCAATATAATTGACTAAACACACTGTTTAAGCCACCACGCTATCCTTATCTTTCCAATAAAATGTTATTTTCTTCTTTTTGTGCGTTTCATGTGAATTTAGGATGATAATATAAGTGTACTAAAAAAACAATCCAAGCCTATAATCAAGGAAACAACAAATCACATATGCTATAAACTACTATATATATGAAAATACCAAAACTAAAACAAGAAAAGGCGCGTACGTAAACCCTAACCCTAACCGAAACCCTGATAACAAGTAAAACCCAACCAGATTATCATCAATGAACAAGAAAATAAAGGGAAAGAAAAACCAGCAGTGTACAAATTGATTTGAAGAGAGGGAAAAAATGAGTGTACCTTGAGAGAGATGGAGGAATGCTCGTAATTTGCAGAGAGAAGATAGATCGTCGAAGCTTCGAATGAAATATTGGGGGACGGCTGGACTTGTTATGACCTTAGGTATTTATACCTCTCTCTCACCCTCAAATCCACAACCCTAGAAATCCTTCAAAATCTATGACTCTTTGAATACACCTAAACTTTTGTGTATTTTTCTTCACCTAATTAATACCAAGAAAAAAGAAAGAAAGAGTAATTACTGCAATAAGAATAAGATCACTATGCCAAGTACAGAATCAGATGACATTGAAGACAGTAAAAATTCAGGTATAAATTAGCACATGCCTTGTAATTCCACCCGCAACCATTAACAAAAGCTTGGCTGTAGCTGTATGATATCTAAAGACCTAAAGGCCAAAAGTTCGCAGGAACGACAGCAGAACTAAAAGGAGCTCCTGGCTAATGACCAAACCTCAAGCTCGCATGGGGTTTGGCTTAACCCTAGCCCTAGGCAGAAACGCAAACTTTCCAGCATAGGGTTCCGAATAATTGTGGCAGAATGAGCCCATTACGAATTCCAAAGCGACCGAAATGGAAATATGTTGGATTAATGTTGAATGAATGAATTTAGGTTAAATTGTGGTAATGGTCCGTGAATTATACCTCAATTTGTATTTTCGTCCTTGAATTTTCAATAATAGTTGTTGTGTTGCTCTTTTGGTCCTTTTCGTCAATTTTGCAAACTTTTATGTTAAATATTGGGGTACATTAACCCATGATAAAATTTAAAAATATATATTAAAAACTGAAAAATGGGAAGCAAAAATAGAGAAGATAGAGATCAGGTAATGAGTCGCTCAATAGCGAGGTTGAGGAGAAGGGGGGTGCTGGGGATGAGAGATTGGGATGTCAGGGGAGGGGACGTTCAGGGAGGAGGTCGAGGTGAAGGGAGCAGCACATGTTTTTTTTCCTTCTTTATTTTATTTATTTATTTTAAGATGGGTAGTGAAATTCCTAATCTGCCTTAGGATTTGACAGAAAATTAACACTATTCATGAAAATTATGAATAGTGCAACGCTGGTCCAATTTTAAGGATCACAACAACTATTTTGACATTTAATGACAAAAATACAAATCGGGGAATAATTTAAGGACCATTGCTACAATGCTACAATTTATTTTTGATAAAACAATGCTACAATTTAAGCTCGGTATACAAACCTAATTCAGGGTTGTCCCAATGCAAGGAGAAAAGCTTACCATTAAGTGTCCTCTCTCTCAGATAAAAGCGTGTGGTTGGAGAGGCTGTGCGTCTGAGGTGGTTGTGATTGAAGGTTGAACTTTTGATCAGAGACCTCCATATGATTTGCACACAGCATTGTATTTGATTAGAAATTTGATGGGCAGCCCCAGGAGGATTTCGTGTAGATATTTTCTCTTAAGCTTGTGGTGAAATACTTTGCTTTAAATCTCTAAATGTAAGAAGTTGGGGATTTGGGGGTTATTATATATGAGAAAGTACATGGTGGTATATGAGTTAATGTTAAGACTTAAGACAAAGAAATCAAATGTTGTTGCTTGCATCCCTTTGAACACACTTTGGGTTGGGGCAACAACTGCGCTAATAATCTGTGTGGTGTCCTGTCCTGGTCATCTAAACCCACTTCATACTTTGTGTCATTCTTACAAAAGCTTGCAAGCAAGTAAAACCAGAACTCTGGATATATAATACATGCAACAAAAACCAGTTCTTTAAATATTTGATATTCATCCCGTCATGCCGGCCAAAAGAGTGGAACAAACGGCCTGTGGTTGGTAAGAAACCAGAGATGGATAGCAGCCCACATTCTTAAACTCAGCTTCTATTCAATCTAAAACTTGATGAATCATCTTACAAAGAAAGTGTCACACGCTGGCAAATCGAAGAGACATCTTTCAATGACAAAAGGGGTCCTTCTAATTTAAGTACAAATCTGGGAATCTAGTTGATGCCCTAAAATTTACATTTAAGCTTGACAAAGAACTATAAGCAATTAACAGGTCTCATGTGATGTATTGACATGGAGAAAGAGATTAGGTTCACTGCCCAGACCAGCTTTAAGCGTGTCAACGGCGATTGGACACCACCGGGATAGAGGCCAATATCTGATCCATTAACCTTCCATGACAAGATTACACCAAAGTTGGTAATCCGACACATATAATTAGTCAAATATATATAGAGAAACACAAAAAACGTAGCACATGCATACCTTTGGAAAATTAACTTGATTCAATAAGTAGTGGTCTAGCAGCAGAATGACTTGAGAATGGATTGACATCTGATACAAAAAGAGAGAAGAAAATCTTGCAATAAGATTGCTGCTAAGTACAGCTCATATCAAAGACAAAGTAAAATTCAAGTAGAATGCACATGCCTTTTAATTCCACCTGCAACCAATCTTGTGTGCATACCAAAGCCTGCCGAATATCAGGATTCAGTGAGCTTCGACATTGATCAAGAACTCTACCACCAATGCTGAATGCTGATTCTGGTGCAACAGTAGACATAGGGGTTCCCAGAACATCACGTGCCATCATCGACAAGATAGGGTACCTTGGTGTGTGGACCTTCCACCAATTTAATATGTTAAAATCACAATTACGAGGAAAGACTGGTTCCTCTAAATATTTGTCCAAGTCTGATATCACATTCTGGCTCTGAGAAGTCTCATAGAGAAATTTATCAAATCCCTTCAATCGATCCCTAGTATCACTGCTGGTACTAGGTAAGCTGCTGCCAGGCAAAGCCGAACCTTGATCAACCATTGTTGAGCAAATTGAATATGCGTCAAAAAGCTCCTTGATGCCATCAGAAACTTCTTTAATCCTATCGAGAGCAGTACTACCATATATTTGAGAATAGTAATACTCCACCAACTTCATTTTGAATCGGGGATCCAAGATTGCTGCAACTGCCAAAGCCAAACTGCACTTGCTCCAATATTTATCAAACTTAGCTTTCATCTTCAACGCCATACAACTAAGAAAGTCGTCTGGGCTCTTGCACCATTCAATTAATTGGATGTGAACATGACAAATCTCAGGAAAATATATACTTGCAGTTGGAGATTTGTTGCCTGAAAAGACATTAGTGATTTCAACAAGAAGTTTCAAATAACCTGTAACAAAACTCGTCCATTCCCATTCTGTATCGGTTAAAGATGAAGCGTAGGAAGGGTCATGCTCTTGCAGGAGAGAAAATGCACCCCTGTATTCTAAGGCTGTTTCAAGCATAATGTATGTTGAGTTCCACCGAACTGGGAAATCAAGAATTAATCTCCTCTCACTATTGATTCCAACTTGCTGGGCAATTTCGTTGAACTTCCCTTGTACCACTTGTGAACTTCTTACGTGTTTGAAACTTCCTCGAATCTTTTGTATCACCTCTCTCAGTGCTTCCAACACATCCTGCACAATTGAATTTAGAAGATGTGCAGCAGAGCGGATATCAAATAACTGACCATGACCCGCAAGAGGCCTACTTTGGGAGATCCGGTCTTTAATTCTCAGAACAATGTCATCATCGGTGGAACAATCATCCAATGTGAAGGCAAACAACTTACTGTGAATATCCCAGTCCATCAGACATTTGCTAATTACTTCTGAAAGTGAGTCCTCAGTATCAGTAGGATCAAGTGTGACGAAGTTCAAAACTTTCTTTTGTAGCTTCCAGTCCTCGTCGATATAATGTGCAGTCAAACATAGATACTCAACATTTTCTGGAGAAGACCACATTTCAACAGAAAGGTTAATTCTTCCCTGCAAACTATTAATCGCTTGATACATTTGACGTTTTTCTTTCCTATAAATTTCCATACAAAAATGCTCAACGTCATTATTTGGCACAACCTCAAACAACGGCTGAAGGTTCTTAACAAAAACTTTGAATCCAACGTGATCAACCATGGTCAACGGGTAACCATGCAATATAATCATACGGGCAAGATCAAGATGACTACGGTCATTATCAAACTTGCCACTTGCAATGGTAACGATATCATCCTTTTTCAGATCCTGATCGAACTTTATGAGTGATGGCTTCATATATTCATCTTTTCTCTGTGCTTCATCACAATTAATATTGGCAAGGCCAACGGTATTGTCTTTTTTCCTTCTCTTTGCTGCAAGTAGTTGAGAAACATCAAAGTTGGATCGTTTTAGACATCGCATTAAATGGTTTCTCAGATGTGTGGTCCCACTATTACTTGATCCACTGAGCTTCTTGTTACAATGCACACAAACAGCATAACATATATCAGCCTTTCTAACCCTTTCAAAATGATTCCAGACAATAGATGTCAACCTCTTTGGTTTCTTGATAGCTGACTCAATGGGTATTTCCATCACATTGGCATGAAATCAACCAAAGTCTGCACATCATAAAAGATATAACGACTAAATCAGATAAAACTACAAGATGAATCTGCAGAACCTCAAACATCAATAACTAATAATGTTTATAAAGTCACACAAAAAAACAAAACAAAAAACTTAAATTGCTCCAAAAAATCTACTACAGGGACATCATTATGGCACTGAGCACACAGATCCTTACTTCAACAAATAATAGCATATTATTAAGGTCCTATGCCATGGTGTACAACAACAACAAAAAATTGAATGAAAATATGAATGTTTGTGCACATATACTTGCAGAAATACATAAACATCCCATACTAATAGAGATATTACAACTCAACTGAATCAGGAGATGTATACAAAAACAACCACAATGACAGAATCTTGGTGCAAGTAAACCCTTGGAACACAAACTCTACAATAAGTCAAAATATTCTCGGACAAAAGCCTTGGTAAGCTTACATCCTTGGAAATCAGTGAACCATATATCAATTATAACACACACACACACACACACACACACACACACGGACACCTGTGTGCATATAGACACTGAATCACTACAGGGAGAAAACACTGCATTATTTTGCATTTAAAGTGACAGAGACATTTATCAGGCAGAAGATCAGAATATTAAAGTGGTACGTGTACTCTGATTTCACTAATGGGATCTTTATACATAACCGAGCATTTTTTCTTCATTGCACAATACAAAAAATTGAATCAATTTTGCCCCACAGATTTCAAAAGCCCTGGAAGCATATCTATAACACAACCCACATTATACCAAAAAGACAACATTAAAACCAGTGAATCAGAAAATCTTCCGACACAAAATTCCATTGAATAGGAAGCCATAGAAGGTAAACATATAACTGATATGTACTTAATGAGGTTTGACAACACAGTAAATTCCATTACCCATTTGTTGGGTTAAATTGGCCCATACCACAATTTAAGTGATAAAATCAGTGTCAAATCCTGCTCCTCTATATCATACAAAATCACGAGGCAACCACAACCTCATCACTTAGAAATTCATCAGCACCCAAAAACCAACGTCGAGAAATCAAATTTCGAAGAAATGACAACCAAAATCTCAAATTTCACTCTAAAGTTTCAACATTTCAGCTTCAATTTCCTAAGCAACAGAACAAGCATATATGCATCAAATTGTGCGATCTGGGTAACACCAAAATCAACCAAAGAAACTCCCACAAACATTAGAAATTGCAATTAAAATCTGAACCTAACAGAGTGAGAGGGCAAAAAAAGTAACATTTTCACAGACATGTTCGAAATTGGTCTTACAGAGTAATTGTTGTAATGACTTTGTATCTTCAAAGAATTTCAGGAAATCCGATCGGTGCTCCGGCAAATTGGGGTTGGATTGTGAGAGACCCTGAAGAGAGAGGGAGAGAGTCTGAACCCGATGTGGCTGCGAGAGAATATGGGTTGGGTCCGATAAGAGTATACCCGGATGATTTGTGGGTCAACGCATTAGGATATTAAAGTAGCTCAACCGAAAACCAATTGAGGAAAGGTCCGGACCCGATTGATTTGGATCCGTTTTGGTTATGGGCATTTGGGTTTGGGCCTGAAGTTGATTGATAAGTTTTTTTTTTTTTTTTTTTAGAACAGTTGAGTTTGAGTTTTCTCCTACCTAGGTTATTAATTTATATTTTACACCCTTATAATTTGGCCAAAATTACATTTTGATTCAGAATCTTCAAAGTATTGCAATGTCAAATCTTAAATGTTTAAAAAACAATTTACACTAAAGTTTGTCAACATCATGTTGTTTAGTGATATCATTCTCCATTTTGTCGAAGGAGTACAAGCCTTTTGTTTTTGTTATCTCAACGAAAAAATTGACATGAAAGAAGCAATTTATATATCTAAACAATTTACAAACTTGTAAGAGTCCAAGAGTATGTCGTGTAAGTTGGAAAAGAAAAGTTATACTTGCATAAACACTATCCATTATTTTATTTTATTTTGCCAAAAGTTGGAAGATACTATCCAATAAAATTTGAGTATGGTTAAAAATAAAAGATTATTTACTCAAATGGTCCTCAAACTAAAACTCGGTTTGCATTTTGATTCATCAACTAAATTATTTGTTCAAATGGACCACCAACTCTTTATTAATCGATGAATCTGGAGAAATTTAATTAAGACACCCAAACGAAAATAAATAATTTATTTTTTCAACGTCCATTAAACTTCAAGTATTTACTATTTATTAAGTCATTTGTGAAATTAGTAACATATTTAAATATTCACTAAAGAAATAATAATTAAAACATAATTAGTAATTAAAGTAATTCAAAAAGGCTAAGATATTACTTAATTACATATATTAAATTAAAGAAGTTGGCCAAAAAAAAAAACAAAAGTAAAGAAACTAATTTTATATTTTCAAAATAAAACAAAAAACAAAAACACCTCTGCCGACAAAAGTTCATCAGCACAGGTCTAAGCTGGTGAAATCCAGATTAGCCGAGTATAGCCCGGCGGCTATACTATTTTTAAAAAAATTTAAAAACAGGTATTACCGTGCGGCTATACTATACATATAAAAGCACCCGCCCCAGCCTATGCACCGCGTGTCAAACATGTACCGTCGAGCGCCTGTAATATTCATTTTAAAAAAAAATAGGGAAAACAGTATAGCCGTCCGGCTATACTATTTTGTAAAAAAACTTTTAAAATCCGGGTATAGCCGACCGGCTATACTATATATAAATAATAAAAGGACCCACCCAGCACCTAGGCGCCACGTGTCAACGTGTAAGGCCATGCGGCTATACTAAAACTTTTAAAACTGGGTTTAGCCGTTCGGCTATACTAAATGGACTCAGCGCCTGGGACACACGTGTCAAACAAGTATAGCCGATCGGCTATACTATTTTTCAAAAAAAAAAAAAGAAGTTAAAAATTCGTTTATAGCCGCGGGGCTATACTATATGCAAGTCTAGGCCGAGCTTTGGCTGGACAATCGTCAAACCTTTCACAGAGAGAGAATAATGTCGAGGAGGAGATTGTTGATGCTGTTAAAACCGATCGACATTTACTCAGATTCTCAATCAGACGGTCCATCTCGCATCACCAACCCTCACTCTCAGGTAATATGACGCCCTGCCTCTGCTTCATATTTGAACTGTTTCCTCTATAAGGGTTTAGTTAGATTATTCACTTGCATATATTCAGCTTAGCATTCCAAGTGTTTGCTAAAATGCCAAAGTTGATTTCAGTTTGAACACTTTATCGGTCTGCTTTATTTTGTATGATCTAATTTAGCTTTGTAAATAAGAATTGGGAAATGATGAGAAATGAGAAAAAACTTAGTTCTTTATAATAAAACTAATTTCAATGAATGCAACAACTCCATAATGAGGGTTAAAATGTAATTAGAAGTGAGAACAGTGAAGAGATTTGTACGTTGTGCCAATTTGTAAGATTTTTTAGAGTTGGTGAAATTTTGTCTTTTTAGTTCTTTTTCTTTGTTATATTGACTTTTTGAATAATAGTTTCATGTATGAGTATGCCATGCTTCAAGATGCCAAATATGGTCAAGTTTTCATGTGTTTAGGCTTGCACAAAACTCAAGTATTTCTTCCTAGGATTCATGTTATTTGGATATTAGCCTCTCACCTTGTGCTTTGCATGCTTGAGGCCTTTCCAACAGAACCGAAGTTTGAGAAAACTGTTGGAATCAGTGGAGTTTTTAAAACTAAACGGTGTGTGAACGTTTGATTTCACTAGTTTAACCATGTAAATAAGAATGCCATACCGGGAAAAGATAAATAGGTAGATTTTGAAGTATTTAAATGTTCCACCAGAAATTTTGGCATCAAGGTCAGATTACAATATTTGTTCAATAGCTTATCTCTTGGTTGTGGAAAATTTGGCCAGGAATTACAGTTAGAACTTGGACTTATTCTCCAAACTCTTTTCTTCTATTACACCCTCTTGTTAACAAATTCTCCCACCCTCTACTCTTGAGTCAGTTTTAAACCCTTGTAATTCAGTTTCTTTTGAAGGAATTGCAGATGTTACATCATTTGGAAAATAGGCTAAAGGTGCACAATGATGCAATAAATTTTTGTCAGAATATTTTGTGCCGCAAACCTGTTGAGTGGAAATCTGTAGTCCTTAACAATCTATCACAGCCCATCCATGATGTGGATCTTGTAGTTACAGTTGGTGGCGATGGCACTCTATTACAGGCTAGCCATTTCATTGATGACTCAGTTCCAGTTCTAGGAGTGAATTCTGACCCCACACGGGCTGAAGAGGTTAGTTTCTTCTTTGGCTAAGCCATAGAGTGTTAGCCTTTATATTACCATATTAGTTTCCTGAGTTTTGCTTAATCATTGCTTGTAATGAATTCATCTTTTATTCTTTTTCCTGCTTTTGGGGCAGAGACTCGTATATATCAGAGCAGCTTATTTTCCATATTTTATTTGGTTAGGTGGAGAAGCTCAGCAATGAGATCGATGCTACTAGAAGCACAGGCTATCTTTGCGCTGTAACTGTCAATAACTTTGAACAGGTAAGACCACAGCATGAATTTGATGCAAAAGGAAAGCAGAATTGAGGCCAGTCAGAGTGTGGTTGCTCTATCCTAGGGTGTCTTTAGAACTAGTCATAAGGAAAGTACTCAATTGATATTTATTTGCTTGCCAAAGCCTTCCTGATTAGGTGTTATAAGGCATCTATCTGGTGCATAAAATGACTTTTCTAAAATGGGGTTTGATTAGTGGGGGATCTGTGTAGCCAAGCCCAATCACTTAGGAGTAAGGCTAAGTGATTTTTTATTTCCAACTCTGTGTGGTTATTCTGCATAACTTCAATATGATACCATTTATCTGTTTTAGAGTTGGGAAGTGAATGATTTGTGGCAAAATCAGTGTTTTTGAGTCTGAAGCAGGACTTCCTTTTTTAGGTTGCAAGTTTTAGAATTGATCTTTTGAAAATTTGCTCTTTTTTGTATTTCTTCATAGGTACTGGACAACATCCTCGAGGGTCGAACAATTCCTTCAAAATTGACAAGGATATCGATATGTGTGAACTCACAAGTGCTTTCAACTTATGCTCTTAATGATGTTTTGATCGCACATCCATGTCCAGCAGCAGTTTCACAGTTCTCATTCAAGTAAATCCTTATGTTCAGTTAGCATGTATCTACATTTTCCTATATTTGTTTGAATTCCTGAACTTCCCTCCCCACCTAAAAACAAAATAAACTTATAGATAGAGCTCCTTGTCTGCAGAATTAAAAGTGATGACCAGCCATGTTCCCCCTTGGTGAACTCTCGATCAAGTGGTCTCAGAGTGTCAACCGCTGCCGGATCAACAGCTGCGATGCTCTCAGCAGGCGGTTTTCCAATGCCCATCTTATCTGAGGATCTCCAGTTTATGGTAAGAGAGCCCATTTCACCAGGAGAGACCTCAAGCTTGATGCATGGATTAATCAAATCTCATCATGATCAGTCCATGGACGCTACATGGTTTTGTAAAGAGGGTGCCATTTACATTGATGGTTCTCATGTTTTCTATTCTTTACAAATTGGGGATACAATTGAGATATCTTCAAAGGCTCCAATTTTGAAGGTTTTCTTATCTCAACGCTTACAGACAGCAGTGAAGAAACTTGAGGAGGCATATTTACAGAAAAAAGAAATACTTTGTAAATACTAGCTGTCCTGTATGTGCTGAACTCGTGATTTCTTCTGTCAATAAAATGACTATTTTTATCTTTATTTAGAATTTTAATTGATTAATTATTTTTTAAATCACCAAATACACACCAACAACTCGTTATTGGAATGCATGTATATGATCAAAAAAATAATAAATGGTGATAACAAATAAGAAATTGTTATATATTAAAAACAAAAGTAGGGTTAGTTCGGTGCAGGTCTACCGGTAAGTCAAGATCATTTTTCATTGGGTTAGACCCCATTAGCAAGTGATCATTTTTTAATTTAATTTACACTTCTTTATTGTTATGACCCTTGAATTTTTGTTACCATAATTTTTTAATTTAATTTACACTTCATTCTTTTTATGACCCTTGAATTTTTGTTACCATTGCATATGTGAACGAAATCTGACGATTGATGCGTAATGAGTCTCACATGCATACACCCAATACGTATTATAAGTATACCCTAACAATTGCTCACTAGACCCTTACAAATTACAATTGTTAAGTGAGGGCCTGTTTATGCAAAGTCTAGTCTTGGCCGACCTTTGGCTGAACAACCGTCATACGCTTCACATAGACGGAGAGAGAGAGAGAGAGAGAGAGAGAGAGAGAAATGGCGAGGAAGAGATTGCTGCTGCTGTTAAAACCGTTCGACGTTTACCCATTTTCCCAATCAGACGGTCTGGCTCGCATCACCAACCCTCAGGTACTATGACGCTTTTGCTTCTTTCTGATTCAGTGTCCGCTAGAACATGTATCTTATTGTGGACCCTCTCATATTTGAACTGCTTCCTCTAAAGCGTTGCTAGTTTTGATGATTCAATTGAAATATTCAGCTTAGCGTTCAAGTTGTTTGCTAAAATGGCCAAGTTGATGACTTTGGTTTGGATACTTATAGGTGGTGCGCTTGATTTTTAATTTCTTTGTAAATGAGAAGTGGGAAATTAAAAGAAACAAAAAAGAAATTAGCTTTTCTTTATGAAAATATTCAATGAATTGAAAAACTCGATAATGCGAGTGAAATGGAATTAGAAGTGAGAAAAGTAAAGAGATTTGGACGTTTTACCAATTTGAAGGATGTTTTAGTGATATTTTGTGGTGTTGAAAAAAAATCATGTATGAGTATGCCATGCTTCAAGATGGCTTGCACAAAAGCTCCAGTATTCGGCTACTAGTTTCTCATCCCACACTTTGCATGATTGAGGCTTTTACAAACAGAACTGAAGTTTGAGAAAACTGTTGGAATACAAAATGTTGATGTCACTAGTTTGATCCTGTAAACAAGAGAATGTTGTGCCCAAAGAAGTTTTGACTCTATCATCGTATAGATAAATAAACTTAAGGACACAATATCTCTTCCGTAGGTATGTCTTGTTTGTGGGAAGTTTGGAAAAAACAGTTAGACTTATTCTGTAAACTTGTTTCTTCAATTACATTTTCCCTTAAATGGAGCCTCGAGTGAAGAGCAGAGAGCCATGGGCTTGCTTCTTCTCATAGTGTTCCGGACATTGATTGCCTTGCTATTTCTGAGGGATGGTTTGGTTCCATCTCTTTGTGAATTTTGCAGAGGCATACAAGTAACTCATCTCCTCTTGATTCATCATATTATGTTTTTGCCCTAAACCCTAACCGTATATCCTTTTGTTGAGTCAGTTTAAAACACCCTTATAATTCAGTTTCTTTTGATGGAATTGCAGATATTACATTACTTGGACAACAGGCGAAAGGTGCACAAGGATGCAATAAACTTTTGTCAGAACATATTGCACCAAAAGCCTGTTGAGTGGAAATCCATAGTACGCAACAATCTATCACAGCCCATCCGTGATGTGGACCTTGTTGTTACAGTTGGTGGTGATGGCACTCTGTTACAAGGTAGCCATTTCATTGATGACTCGGTTCCAGTTCTAGGAGTGAATTCTGACCCCACACAACCTGAAGAGGTTAGTTTGGCTAAGCCATAGAGTGTTAGCCTTTATGTCATTGTATTAGTTCACTTCACCGAGTTTCACTTAATTGCTCGTAATCAATTCATCGTTTTTTATTTTTTTCCTGCTTTTGAGGCAGATACTCATATAAATCGTTGCATCTATTTTACTTCGTTAGGTTGAGAAGCTCAGTAATGAAATTGATGCTAATAGAAGCACAGGCTATCTTTGCGGTGCAACTGTCAACAACTTTGAACAGGTAAAACTCTGCCAATGAATTCAGTTGATTGGAGACAAGTCATTTTGGTTCCTCATTTCGAGGGTGTATTTAAAACTAGTTAGTACTTGAAGGAAAGGAAACATCTAATGTTCACAAAAGAGTTAGGCATTCATCTTTCTATGTCATGCTCAAACTTTTAGTTATGAGGAATATTTCCATCAAAATGATCCCTAGCACTACTTCTCTCCCGTAACTACCAAGGAGAGTAAGAGTTCTCAAAGGAAATCTATTTGCGGGCAGAATCCGTCCTGCTCTGGTGTTAAAGGCATCTCTTTTGTTCTTTTTAGGTACTGGACAGCATCCTCAAGGATCGAGCTATTCCTTCCAAATTGACAAGGATATCCGTATCCGTAAACTCACAACCGCTTTCAACTTATGCTCTTAATGATATTTTAATTGCACATCCATGTCCAGCAGCACTTTCACGGTTCTCATTCAAGTAATGTTCTTTCATGATCTGATGGTCAGATAGCTGTATATTCAACTGGTTTCTTTAGTTAACATGCATCTAACTTTTATTCTTTAAATCCCTCAACTTCCCTCCCCACCTCAAAGCAAATTAAATTTATAGATTAGAGATCATTGTTTGCAGAATTAAAGGGGACGACCAGCCATGCGCCCCCTTAGCGCACTCTCGATCAAGTGGTCTCAGAGTTTCAACAGCTGCTGGATCAACAGCTGCAATGCTCTCAGCAGGTGGGTTTCTGATGCCCATATTATCCCAGGATCTCCAGTATATGGTAAGAGAGCCCATCTCACCAGGAGCGGCCTCAAGCTTAATGCACGGGTTAATCAAATCTCATCAGTCCATGGAAGCTACATGGTTTGGCAAAAAGGGGGTCATATATATTGATGGTTCTCATGTTTCCTATACTATAAAAAATGGGGATGCCATTGAGATATCTTCCAAGGCCCCAATTTTGAAGGTTTTCTTGCCTCACCATTTACAGAACATTAGTGAAGAAACGTGAGGAGGCATATTTAGATAAAAATAAATTAAACATTTTTGTAAATACGAGCTGTGCATACGTGCGGAACTTTTGTAAACATGAGTTCAGGTGTAAGATTTTGATTCTTTGATTTCCAGGAGAAATTTACTAAGTTCAACATAGCTATGTAGACATGGTGAATGTATACAAATGGAATTGTGTTGGCTTCCTCATCATTAATCACACAGCAGCTATATGATCTGTTAAGACTGCAATCCTATATTACGTTTTTTTCCCTCCGACCTACCAATTATTACCAATTAATGAAAATTTTCTGATCGTCATAAATTGCATAAGGGATTTCCAGTGGAGAAGAGGGGAAGGGGGAAGAGTGAGAGGTGAATCAGTTTCCAGCATGCAACCCATTGCCATTTAAACTATTAACACAACACGTCCCTCTCCGATGCGGGATACTCTCGACAGCTTCACCCAAAGCAAAGGGTCACCAGGAGGCATGTTACGAGATTCTTCTTTTTTTCTTCTTTTTCTTTTTTTTTTTCCCTAAAAAAGAAATTACAGTCATAGTAAACATATCCAGCATGACCTTCGGCAAACAGTGAACTCTCGACTTCAAGCCTAGAACCTGAAAATCCAGGTCATGAAAATTCAGCAATGGATTATTGGCAGCAATGTAAATTTAGCAGAACCAAGATTGAAACTTACGTGAACATCTGAGGACGGTTACGAGAGAGCTGAGGCCTCTTTATTGGGGAGAGTATCAAGTTCCTTAAGGTCATTGAGGGGTTGCTAGCTCCAGTTCCAAACATAGGGTGAGCACCAGCCCTTCTGTTCACAGCATCAACTGGAATAGCAGCTTGTTTTGCCGGTGAGCCAACAGAGATGTCAAAAGGACCACCAGAGTTTGAACTATTCTGTCTTGCTGGCCATATATCCTCCTTTGGCCCTGGAGTTTCAGGAGTGAGAACCGGCCAATCTGCAAGAAATAAGTCAACTGGCTTTCGAAATATTTGAGCCAGCAAAAAAACATAATGCTATGAAGTTCTGTTCAGTTTCATGATAGCATCAAATGTCAAAACTTTGTAGTGTTATTTTTCAAAATTAGTTTATGGATTTTCTGTACTCTTATACAATATTATTTCTAGTATGTCATGAAATACTATCCCGGTGTTGACAATTAGTCGATTGAACTGTAATTCTGCAACTTTAAAAGGATAAAAGTTACCTTTTCTAACAGCTTCTCTGTTATCCAAGATGTTAGCTTGGTTTGAGAAAAGATCAGGCTCATTTCTTGAATAGAAATTGGTCGCAGGTTGAAGGGCAGATCGTTTAACTGACTCGTACTCACTCCTCAATTGATCATACATTTCATCTAGTTTTCTCTTCTGTCTGGTGGTATATGAAAAGTCAAGAAAATCAACATATTAGGGCCCCAACAATGCAAATATGCCTCAGGAAATAGTATCAGTAGGTGAGGAATGGACACAAGACCTGGATTTCTCTGCAAATTTTTCCTGGAGCTCCTGCTTATCTTTGGACAAGCTTTCAATCTCTTGTTCCATCATTTGACACCTCTTCACCATTTTCTGGTATGCAGTATGCACCTGTTCCAATTTCTCAGTGAACTTTTCTTGCATTGCTTCACATTTCTGCCGGAATTGAGCTACTATTCTGTTCATCTTGAACTGCATTTCCAGTTCCTTTTGCCCAATGTAAAACATGATACTCCTGTGTGCACTCTTCATTACTAGGAACATTGTTAAGGGAAACATGTACAGACCATTGTCTCCGTTACAAAACAGTGAGAAAATTTGCTTACAATATACACCTTATTTGGTTTGGTCACTCCCTCATAAAAATGCACCAATGGCTATGTGCTATCCCATTTTATGCTGTTCTTTCCAGATAATGGAGCAGTTTTCAAGTATCAGATTATTAAATTGCAGAGCAAATGGAAAAGGATACATATCTGTGGAGACACTCCAGCCATGGCCATCTGGAACAGAATATGTTAGAACGTTAGCAAGAAATCAAGTTAAAGGATACAGAATGTAAGGAAAAGTAATAGTACCGAGCAGGGGGGAAGATTCCATTGAATAAGGTAATATAAAGTTTGAAGACAAGCTAAGTCTATCCATTTAGGAATACTTGCTTACATTTACCCATTCATCGTTTGGATTGATATCCACAGGTTTCATAAGACTGCCAAGAATAGAGAACAATGAGATAGGCAGAATTAAATAAGACAACTGCTTTATGAAAGTAGGAAACAGGTTTGCCACATTGTTTTTATTAAAAACCCAAGTATTATTGGTGCCAGGAGCAATTACAGCTTTCTTTTTTTTTTGGTAAGATAATAAAACTTGCCTTTTGGGTTCTATCAAAGAATTGCTTAAACTGGTTCTTACAGGAAAAAAATTCTGCAGCAACCATTGATGCCAGAAACAGAATAAATTTTGTCTTCAGCATTCATTCCATGTAGTCCATATATTTACACTCTCATATTAATTATTCACAAAGAAAAAACTACAACCTCTCATTTTATGTTCATGTATGCTAAGCAGACCTGCACACCTAAAAAAAGCCAAGGCTTAAAGAATACAAATTCCCAGAAAAATGCTAGATTGTCTAAGATCTTTACCAACTCTTACCTCTTAGAGAGCACTTGATCACAAATGGGACATGCTCCATCATTGCCAAGGATCTTGCTGGCATCCTCTGTGCCTTTTCACACTATTAAGGAAACTTTTATGCAAATATACCAATCAACCCTAAATCTACAACCCAAAAAAAAAAAAAAAAAAAGTTACAGCTATAAAACTGTAGAGGGAAAGTTTTCCTTTGCATAGGATACACAAAAGGTGGCCACAGGTGGTGGAAACAGCTCGCCCTTCTAGTTCTCGCCAACATGCATTGCATCTCATTTTAGCCTTCAAAGACAATCTCTAATGCAATGGCATGTCTGGGGCATATAAAACATGTTGATCAACAACGCTATCTCAAGGTTTCTCAACTGATTTATATGCCTGCTGTTATTGGTTTCAAATGAGAAACCAGGGAGGCTTGTGGCCAAATAAACAAAGGAAGCGTAATATTTTTCCAATTTAGAGAGGATATAAGCATGAGGAGAAGTCATGCTTCAATGACATGGAAGTACAAAGAAACTACCATAACGCAAATGATGTGTCATGAAGACAAATTAGCAAAAGAAGATACTAGTCTGTTCATAATGGACACAAAGGCATGATGGTTTTGAAATTCAGAGTAGTTGTTACAACTTACAAACGGGAATTCAAAATTAAAGCAATGAAAGAGAACCTGTCCCAAAAATGCAGTTAAGTTCTGAAGTCTTAAGTGACTAGAAAATTTCCAAAATATTGAAGAGCTAAGATGCTAATCTCATATTTTGATGATAATAGAGAAGCCTCATGAATTTCAGTCAAGTTGGATGATTGAGCTAACAAAACTGGTTGTGAACTCAGGTATCACAACTAATCAAATCTGGAGCGAAGAAAACTTCACCCTTAAGTTTTTCCACTTAAGTCATGCATTTAACAAATTACATAATGAGGTATTTCAACAAGTATGAAGTTTACAGTTGAGTGGTGCACTCCGTACTACAAGACTTCGAAACAGCATAGAGATCTGTTATGTGCCTCATCTCGTGTACGTTAAAACACTCTTGGTATGTTAACTCAGGTAAGGGTAGGATGCTCCTCTATTTAAATCACTTACTCAAGTCTGTTTTTACCGACAAAAGTTAGCACATCAAAAAATCATTCCATCAGGTTTTAATCTTATACATGTTTGGTAATTTATTCATCTTATGAAATACTAAACTACTTTAGGTCAGCAATATCAAATATGCCACAAATTCGAAGAATGAGAAGAATGACATGAGCTTCATATGCGACTATTAACATAAAAATTTAGCCATAGTTGTGTGTGTGTTTTTTTTTTTTCATTTTCCACCAAAACTTTGAACCAATGTCTGAAGTAGAAGTAAAGAACTCACTGAGTATTTTATATATGAGAAACATGTTAAATCAATTATGTCCAAATTAACAAAATTTTCTTTTTAAATTACTCTCTTTTTGTTCATCATCTCTACGGTAAAAATATGCAGAGAAAGAAAATACCTTCATGCTCACTGACAATATAATTTCCGAAATAAAAAGCATAAAAATACCGAAGACTACCCATCAATAAGTACTTATTGCTTCGTATATGCAAATTCCTTTGACTACAACGTTTTCTCAGCCACCAAACAGAGAAAAGAGAGTTCTAAACTTGAAAATAGGATCGTACCTAAACGTTAACCAAAATTCTGCGCCAAAGCTTTGATTTAGTTGCTTGCGAAGAAAGCTCTCGAACTATCAAGATACAGATAGGCTAATTGCGATTTTGCGCTCGTACATTGCGATTTTGCGCTCGTACAACTTGGCCGTTTCACGGTGTAAGCTCCGATCAGTAAAATAAATTCCTGAAAACGCCAAGGAAAGTGAAAATTACAGATGATAGGACGAGAAAATTGACGACGAAATCCAAATCACGGCATGGTAAAACTTACAGAGATTTATCGCAAAAGTTGAATTTTTCTTTGTTCTTTTGTCTCTTCCAATCGGAAAAATGAGGTTTCAGCTATACGGAGGGAACGCAGGGAGAGAACTGAAGAAAAGCCCTAGAGGTTTGAGAATGGATTTGGAGGGAAATGTTATTGTTCTGGAAGATTGGTGTGTACGGCTTCTGATTCGAATCAGAAATGGCGGGGACAAGTCACGAGCTCTGGTTTGAGATTTTGTTCACGAGAGCGAAACCTTTTTTGTGATTTTAAATTCCAAGATCCGTAGCGATATGATATTCGGGTCGGTTTTAATTGATATGAATGGCCCGACTCGAGCCCAAGCCTCTATAGCCCAACGTTTTCTATGTTCACTTCTCAACTCACCCACCACGTAAACCTAATATTTCTAAAATCCCCCCGTTTGGTTCATGGGAATGGAGGCTTGAGAATGAGAATTCAATTGTCTTCCCATATTTAGTAAGTCCAGGCATGGGAAATGGTTGTCTGGCACATGAGAAAGTAGGGGGGAAAGTGAAGTCCTCCTCTTAACTTGGGTTTTGTTTTCTCTCATGGAAAACTTGGGAAAATGAGTCAACATTCAATGCACAATTTTCATGACTATTTTGTCCCTATGCACAATTTATAATTACAACGTATCATTAAATGCATTCTTTTTTTATTTAATTTAATATGGGTATAATTTGAAAAGTATACAAACTTCGTTTTCCATTTCTACTCAAAACAAACATGGGAAATGAAACAAAGTGAAATCTCCCGGTTACTTTTCCGACATTACCAAACATGGAAAATAAATCTTTCATTCCCATTCCTTGGGAAATGACATGGAAAATAATTTCCCCTCAAATCCATTCCGTGAACCAAATGGGGCCTAAAAGAGTACATTTATTTTTAATTTGCTTTTAGGTATAGAGTGTGCCCACCATATGTGGGCCATGGGGGTGTAGTGTAGTCCTCTATGTTCTTCACCTTATATGGGGTGGAGTTGGGGCTGCTACGGTAATCATCTCGTGTGAAATTGTCAACTTAAGATTATGTATTTATCATAACAAAACAGTGATATTTCTGTTACGTGTAAGTTTTTTTGCTTAGTTAAATAGTATTTCTCTTCTTAATGTTGTAAGAGGTCCCAAAGTCTAGGTGTTGCCAATACTATACTGAGCTTCAAGACCATAGAGATCCCAATTTCTACAAGTACACAGTTAACAGTGGTCCAATTGGGCATGTACAAATTGACCTTCCATAACATGTAGCCCTGGCCTTCTTGAACATGTGGAGATCCCAAACGATCACAACCCTATTTGCTATTTGCTTTATAATTGTAAAACTCACAATGGGAACTATATAAGGTTCTTCATAAAGGGCCTCGTTTTGTATAGGCTAGGCTGTCCTCTCCAAGGAATCTCATTCCTTACTTCATTGAAAAATCAAGAATAAGTATATATCTCGCATTACCTTTTAATTCATAACTGCACGTAAATAAGGATATAACTCGTGACGAAAATGATTCATTCAATCTATTTCTCCGTTTCAAGTTAGTAACATGTACAAGGGAGCCCACAAATATCACCAGAAGAAAGCAACAAGACACCTATCATGACTATCTTTCCTCAATGAGCACTCTTCTAGTTATCCTGTACATATCTTGGTTTTCTTTATTAAAAAGCAAAATTGTAGCAATAGTCCCTCCCTACTTTATTTTTCGTCTCTAAATCTCAAAAATTGTTATAATCAATCGTCCTTCAATTAGATATCGTGTTGCATCATTTGTCATTCCGTCAATTTTGTTAGATTTTCTGTCAAAATTAAGGGCAAATTGGGAAATTCTTGTCAAATATTTCTTAGATAAATAAACTATTTAAAGAAAAAAACCACTGACGCTACCCGAAAAACAGCCACCTTATCCCCATCCCCACTTACCCAAATTTATCACCGCAACCACCCACCTCAACTCAACAGCTTCCACCTCTAAGCTTTCCCCTGCATCACCAAGCTCAAGCTCAGCACCACCAGGCTCAAATCCATCAAAATGAGCAAACCCTCTTCCACCCCACCCACAGTCCACCCCAATCTCTCGGCCACGACACTCCTCAAATAAATAAATAAATATATATATATATATCTCTCTCTCTCTCTCACAGTTGCGTTACCGCATCCCCTGTTGGTACAATTCTACATAAAATTGAATTTCTTGATTTTTTTATATTGAACTTCCCTTTTTCATTCTTGAATTGTTGTTGATTGGCTTCGTTCTATTTGGACATTAGTGTTCAGTTCTCAGATTAGGAGGCTGGGTTGCTGACGTAAGGGGAGGGTTGGTTTTTGGGGAGGGTCGTGCGACTGGGGTGAGAAGTGGTGAGGGTAGTAAATGGGTAAAAGTCTTATTTGCCCTTCAAAAAAATATCACGGGCATCACATGTGATCCATTTTGAGGGAAAAACTAACAGAATTGACAGAAATGACGAGCACTGCAACACGATATTTAATTAAAAAACCACCGTAACAATTTTTGAAGTCGATAGACGAAAAGTAAAATAGGGCCTTATTTAAGATACCATTACTACAATTTAGTCTTATTAAAATGCTGGTTTCATTTTTTTTGGGGGGGGGGGGGGGAGAAGAATGCTGGTTTCATTCGGTGCATCATTTCATGTAAATCACCATAACAAGTTTGCCTATGATCAATTATGTTTGTACATTAAAATGTAAATAAGACTAAAGCATTGCCAAACACGCTAGAGCTTTAACCCTTCAATTTTGGACCACCTACCCTACAACAACTCATTTAGTTGAAGACTTGAACAAGAAAGGCGTCCCATGCCTACCAAACAATACCAGTCCTTGGGTGAGCCCTCTCATTAATTTTTGTACCCGAAATAAAACGCCCCAAGTGGCTCCAGTGTCCACTTTAAAAACATAGTGGCATATACATAGAAATCTGCATTCTAGTTGGCTATAATATATAAAAAATAAAATAAAAACATGCATGGATCCGAATCAATCAAATCCCGACCCGAATAGAGTGGTGCAAGCAATTGAGCTAAGATATTTGTTAAAGGAGTGGAGTATTGTAATTTCAGTTGCAAAGCAACGGCGGCCTCCTACGCCACGACACTTGTTAGAAACCTCCACGTGTACAAATTGAAATGGCTTGCTGGCCTCAAAAATAACTCATTTACTAGCTCCTCCTCCGACTGTAGAGATAGAAGAAACCCGAGAAGAGATTTTTGAAGGGTTTAGAGAGAGAGAAAGAGATGAAGATACAGTGCAACGTGTGCGAGGCAGCTGAGGCCAACGTACTATGCTGTGCAGACGAGGCAGCTCTGTGCTGGGCTTGTGATGAGAAGGTTCACAAAGCAAACAAGCTCGCAAGCAAGCACCAGAGGGTTCCTCTGTCTGCATCTCACATGCCCAAATGCGATATCTGCCAGGTGCTTAAATCCCACATCAAAAAGTTGCTTATTTTGTCATAAGAATATGAAAATCAACATGGGTTTTGTTTGAAATTTGAGTTCATGATTTGCAGGAGGCAATTGGGTATTTTTTCTGTTTAGAAGATCGAGCTTTGCTCTGTAGAACATGTGATGTTGCTATACACGCTGCTAATAGCTTGGTGTCAGCTCACCGGAGGTTTTTGCTCACCGGAATCAGAGTTGGCCCTGAGCCAACTGAGCCTGATTCTGGAGGTGGTGGTGGTGGTGGTGGTGTTGGTGTTGGTGTTGGTGCCTCTTCTTCTTCTGTCAAGTCACGTTCTGGGTCTGGGTCTGGGTCGAGATGCGATACGCCCAATCCAATGCCTGTGGAGTGCAAGGTAGCACCGGCCGGTGTTGATGTGATGCCTTTTGCTGGGGGTTCTTCAGCTGGGACTGTTCCTCAGTGGCATATAGATGAGTTTCTGGGACTCTCTGATTTTGATCAGAGTTTTAGCTACATTGAAAATGGATCTTCCAAGGTGTGTGGCCATGGTGTCCAATGTTCAATTGTTATTAGAATTTATGATATGGTACTGCTGCTATATTCATATTACAAAATTGTGGCACCCATTTCTCTGTTTAATAAGAAATTTGGAAAGAAAGTACTGCAAATTGGTCTCAAACTCTCAATAGTCAAGGATTGTGAAATTCATAAGATTGCACTTCATTTGCAAACAGGAATGTCTCATAGGCTTGTGCTCTGGGTCACACTGACCCATTTTTACCCCCGTTTTGTTGCAAACCCCTTATGCTTATTGAAGAACCGACTTAAATTAGGCTATCAAGTAGAAGACAGAATTCAAGACTCCTTTATTTTTGTCTTAAAATAAAAAAATGAAGTACCCTTTGTGACTGATGACCTACTCCTTGTCATATTTTTTTCTAGGCTTTATGGTTATCTCAGTGCATAATGGTGTTTCTATTTTGTGCTATTTCTATCAGGCTGACTGCGGTAAACTTGGGGAGTATGACTCACCAGGTTTAAAATCATCTGAGGAGGAACTGGAAGATTATGAGTGCATAGGTGAGGTGCCAGAGACCTCTTGGATGGTACCCCAGGTACCTTCCCCACCTACAGCCTCAGGACTCTACTGGCCTAGAAGTTCTCAGATTTCATCTGATTTTGCAGTTTTTGTTCCAGACATTTGCCACTCACAAATGCAAAACCCTCTTTATTCTCAACATAACGGTACCGTCTCAAAACGTCGTAGGCAATTCTAGTCCTTGCTACAAAAGTTACCATATGTTGGATTTGTTTGACTGTGCTTATAATATCATTTTGTGTACCGTTCTGTCTTCTCTAGAGTAAGTGTAAGATTATGCTATGGTATCTGTTGAAAGTAGATTTGTCTTACTTACCACTTTCCATGTAGTGTCTGTAAACATCTTTTCACAAAATAAAAATAAATTAGTTGTATTTGGTTACTGCATCATATGGAGTTGATTTTTTCCCATTAAGATTTACAAGGTTCTCCTTTGTTCGATAGGAAAGTCTGAGTTGTTACCATGCTCATAAAATTCAATGAATTCAAGAACCCAGACCTAGTGGTTGGATGTTCAGATATTTCTATACTGAGAACCTTGCAAAGTTGTCATAAATTCAATTACCTGGTGATAAATCTATAGTCATTTTTTCCAATGCTTAGAAATGTTGAAGCTATGGTCACTTACTGGCTCCTTGGTTGCTTCAATAGTTATGAAAATTTTATGCTGGTTCAAAAATCTCAGCTGGGCTGATGTGACATCTTAGACAATCTTAACAACTGATGACCTGTCCACGACTGTTTGCCTCCCATGTCTTGTGCATTGGGTTCTCTCTTTCACATGCAGTTTATAGAGGCTCACAAGGGCTGATGCTAGCATTTTTTATATATGATATGGTTAAGACTGATGCAGTATGATTGAACTAATATGTCATTGGTTCTCATTGAGATGCATTGAGCATCGCAAATAAAAGTTTATCCGTCTATATGTTTTGTTGGTCTCTTGTGTCAAGGTATTATGATATGCTCTACTAGAAAGTTCTGTACTTGTTTACTTGTGCATGATATTTAAGTCCCAGCCCCATGCCTACCACAACTTTATGTTTCGAGTCATGGTATTGGCATTTCATGTTTTCTTTTTGTTTTTCACTAAGGGTTCAAATACGACGCAACCTTTTATGTTAGGAATGCTTCAAATCAAATGGTATCTGCAATTTGAATGATGAAAACATGTTGAATTTGCATAAAAATTGGACAATAGCATATGCTTAAATGTTTGAATTGTTGGACAACATTGCACATGGCAAGAGTACTTTAATGGTTGGCCTGCTAGCACGAGCCCAAAAACAGGAATGCAAGGGAGGAAATATCCATTATTAGGCTTCCTTCTAATCTTGTTGTTTAGAGATTCATGTTACCACTTCTTTGTTGGTCTACAAGATGGATGGTGGTGTTGCGCCTTTATGTTTGTATGCCATATGTCTTTCTCCGTTTGTCCGCCTCTCCACGTGCAGGCCCATCATGCATGTGAGGGGGGAGTAAACGTAAAACTTGATATACATTGTTGGCTCATTCCTTGATAGTTGACGGACAACTTAAACTTTTGGAGCTAATGGTTGTCTCATTTTCTTCCTAAGAAGTTAGTAAGAGCAACCAGATTCTTATACATTTTGATTTATGTAGTAGTTGAATACAAGTTTCCGTTGTCTGTTGCACCTCATAATTGTGTACACGATCTGTATACGATGAATTTCATTTCATTCTAACAATGTCTTCAGAATGTTGCGTATTTGATTGTACTATTAGCTATTTTGTGACTTGTGAGCACCAGATTTCCATGCCCGTTCAAACAAACGTTCCATCTAGCTTTTTCAGGAGGGCAGATATGAAATTAATAATAAAAAATAAAAGAATAAAAAACTAGTGTCCACCAATATATTTAATTTATTATATAAAAATATATATGTACAATAACAGATTTTGCATATAGAAATTTGTATGATTATCTCTCTCTTTTTCACCACTGTTCGTTGTTGCGACTGCCTCTCTTGGCTTCCTTGAGGATGAGTTCCAAGAGCCTCTCATACATTGCAATAGCAGATTCAAGCATATCAATGGCTCTGTTTCTATCATTTGCAGCCACTTTCAACGCATCTTCCATTTCTAATATTTTCTTTATTGGCATATTCATAAGTTCTTTGCCAGAAGACCGAAAGTGGCAATTTCCAGATCCGTAAGCACCATTCCTCATTCCAAAACCATTCGCTTTGCTACAATTTATGCCCGTAGCTGCCACCAGATCACTAATGCTCCCCATCTCATTTCCAAGCGCCATGATCACCTGACCCGCATCAACTTCCCAAACCCAAACACTCCCGTCTTCCGAAGCTGATATCAAATTCCTTCCCCCATTCACCATCACCACAGATACCACTGCCCCACTGTGCTTCGGAGTCCACGAGATCAATTCGCTGCCTTGGGTCACAAGTTGCCTGGTTCCAACTTTCAGTGATCCCTTGTGTACTGAACCATCTGATCCTGCAACATAGAACTCAGGCTCTGTTGGGTTCAATGCAACCCATGAAATAGTGCATGGAAACACAATGGTACGCAGGAGCGTTCCACGCAAGAGACTCCAGAATTTACATGTGCAATCCAATGAGCATGAGATAATCTGGGAGTTGCATAATCCCGTACCAGAAACAATGGCAGTCACTGAATCAGAATGAGCAGCAAACCTATGCAATATCAATTCTTCCACATTGTCATATCCTGAGGCTCCTACAAGCTGAAAGATGGGGACAACAACAATGGTCCCATCATCGCTGCCTGAAATCAGAAGTGACTCATCATCACTGATTGCAAGGCAAGACACAGGCTTGCTATGTGCAGGCAATGGTTTGAGCACATCCCCTGATGGGATTGAAATTCCATGCACACTGCCTGATAGGCCACCGGCAAATAGATACAACCCGTCAGACGTGGCGGTGAGGGGTGCAACAGGCTCCAGGACAGGGAGGTTATGGAAGGCAGTTGAAGACCACCAATTGTAAAGGTGGACTGAACCAGAAGCAGTGGTTGGTGATATGTGTGAGGCAGCAATATAACTCTTCCCAACGATTGCAAGGCCTCCGCGTGGTGACCGGCTGCCTGTGAATTGTGCTAGGGCGGCGCCTGAGGAAGCATCATAGGCAATAATGGGGCCGTCAGGAGAGCTGGTGAGGACAATTTCATGTGGAGAAGAAGACATGTTTTTGAGGTGGGCTAAGAGACAATGTAGAAGAGCATGGTATGCAAGGGCAAAGGGGTTTATGAGAGGTGGCAAAACGAGGAGGGCATGTTTAAAAGAGAGGAATTCCTGGTGGTTTTTGGGGCGTTCAAAACAAGGTGCTCATCATCACATTTTGGCTGCTTCTGTTTTGTTATTGTTAGGGTAAAATGGATGGTATGGTTTATACGGGACTCTGGCTGTGAGGTGATTGGTCAAGTAGAACTGAATCACATTCACTAATTGGACACAAGAAATGGAGGTGGTTGATGACGCAATATTTCTAAGGCATCTGATATTGTTATATTATAACTGAATCATTAATTTTTAACATCCTCCTGAGGTGGTATTTAATTAGTTTTCAGATGCAGAAATCCACCCAATTGGACCGTCTTATTCAATTCAAATTGACTTGACCCCTGGATTGGAATTTGGAATGGAAGGGAAGGCCTCCTATAGAAGACAGTATAAAGATTAAAGTTTAATTACGATAGTACCCTTTAATTTCCAAATTAATTGTGATAATTACTTAATATAAAAGGGTAAAATTGGGCCTTGATACATGAACTTGCAGCAAATATAGGACAATATCATACAGTTCAGTCCTGTAATGCATGGTACAGAAACATAATTCAGAGATTTCAAAAGGAAAAGATGTTCTTCATGGAACACAGCAAAATAATCCCATTTGTCACTACTTAAAATTAATTTCCATGGTACATACATTTCTTTTTTTTTACCATTTTGATGGCAATAGTTCACCAAAACATTTTCGGAATAACTTTGAATGAGCGTATCGCAATCTCTTCATCGTTATACATACATTGAGTAATTAAATGTAGCTTCTTCAGTTGTCAACCAGAAATTGGAGGGCAAAAATATTGAACCTCAGACGTGCAAAGGAATGATGTTTCCATAAGATGAGCTGAAATTGTACTCTGGCTCCCATGTAGAGTGCAATGGTCTAGTTTCAGTCACCAGTGTAAAACATATGCATCATGTTTGATTTTGTTAGCATAGCTGGTTGGCACTTAGGAGGAGAAGCATCTTAACCTTCGTGAATTTACATACGCAAGTTCTGGAGTAAAACCTGCTGCATGAAGACTGCTATAATGCTGCCCATGGATATGTTTATGACATTCACAGCGTCATTGTTGAGCTGTAAAACAGAGCATAGACGGCGTGTAAGAAGCACATAGAGCTAAAACACAGAACAAACCAGCAAGAAAAATTTATATTACGTAGCAGATCCAGAACGTTACAGTCAGGTATGTCTACAGAGATAGATGTTGAAAGAAGCTGCAGCTTTTGGGTTGAAGAAGAAGATCATGGTCCACCACAAATCATTCTCTAATTCATCATGAGAGAAAATCATACAAATCTATTTTTCTTAATGAACACATGTAACCCCAGGGCCCTCCATGCCTCTTAAGGTACCAAAGACCTTTGAGAAAGAAAATTATAAACACATGTAACCCCCAGAGCCCTCGATGCTCCTAAATTTACACATCCCATTTATCAACCCAACCTCAATGGGATAACAAAGCACATACTTGCCAAATTCAACATTGATTCATCAAAACATGAATTTGGCTGGCCATTGGCACTCCTTAATATTCTTAAGAGCAAACTTCCTTGCCCATGACCCAATCATACCAAACTGATTGGGTGAACAGAATAAATAAAGGAGAAAAAAAGTTACATAAAAAGAATCAAATTATTGAAATGGATGCCTACCCATCGAAATCCTTCCTTGTCTTGAAGAGCAGCACCTATAATGCTCTCACCAAAATTAGCTATTTGGGAAGCTATTACGCATATAATTGCTTCAGGGGCAGTTATCTGTTTGACGAAAAGTACAACAAACGTTATAAAATATAAAATAAAAAAACAGACAAAAAGATAAAACATACAAAAATTGAATGATTATACAGGAAACAGCACCTCACCCACAAGACAACCAACAAATGCAAGAAGAATAGCGGCCAAAAGTCCGGCAAAGGTTCCCTCGACACTTACAGCCCCCTCTGTTCCCCTTGGAACTACCTTCAATGTTGTAACTAAGTACCTGGTCAAGCAGCACAATTTAGGCAATTGAAATTTTGCATACAAGCTATGAGACCAAAGAAAATATTGCTTATCTAAGAAAAAATAAGGTTCAAAACATTCCACCGATTCT